TTATTAGGTAACGTATAATAAATTAAATTTCGCATATCAAATTAACTTACATACATTATTTATAAGTTGTGTGGCAATTTTAAAATGACATAATAACAAATTTTTACAAATTTTGTATATATTTATTTTATATAAATATTAGAACTGCAAAATTAACCAGCAAATTTTGTACGCTTGAAAAGTAATAATATACCTTATCTCAACAGTGAAATTCAAAAAGTGAGAAAATCGTCTTAGAAGATTGCAAAGACTTAAAAGCTGATACCTATTGCTATAAAGTAATAATAATAAGTAATAAAAATAAAACATAACGTTCACCTCAATTAATAAAAATATTTAACAATGTATATACATTATTAAAAATCTGATCCCCTTAATGGATATTATAAAGAAAATTTATTTTAAATAAATAAATAACTTTTTATTTTTATATGACTTATGTTTTATGTCAATAATTTTAAAATTGACAATCTCATTTAAGTAACATAAAGCATATATATTTTTATTTAAATAATTAGTAAATATATCTATTTGCCATTTTAAATATGTAAATAAATTAAGAAATTCTTAAATATTTAAATCTAATTATATTAAAATTGAAAAATATTTTGTAATATATGTAATTTTAATTTCGTTTTAATATTAAAAACTACAATAAATATATTTCATTTTATTGTATTGTATTGTATTTTATTGTAATTTTTTTCATTACTTACAATGAAATTTCCGACAACAAGAGTGATTGCAACGTCCGCTTTGATGTTTTGCAAGATTTACATTCAAAAGAATAAAAATATAAGTAAATTCATATAAATAATTTTTTTCACATTTTATTTATTATATAATTTAATATTTTAATTTTTAAATATAAATTAAAATTATTCCTCTATAATAACTCTTAAATGAATTTAAAAATGATTATCTGTTTGAGAACTTCGCCGAATAAATTGTAAATATATTCAAATAACTATTACGCAAATTCAAATATACGCAAGTAATTATTAACAACTCTGAATAATTGAAATAGTAAAAAAATGTTTTTAAGCTATTTTTCAATTTAAATAATAAGAATATTATTTAATTTATGAAATGCTAATCATTTTATTTAATACTTGTAATTATTTATATTTTAATTCATTTCGACTGTTACAAAAATTGAAAATGCTAATAAAAATTAATAAATACAGTATTATTATGTGAATTTTTAAAAAATAGTTGATTACCTTCCACAATGAATATGAAATAGAACCATAATAAATGTACTGGAAACTCCATTTTATATAATAAAAAATAATACTGTTATTCTTATATAACAGTCTTCGGGTGATTCTTTTGACATAAAATATACAAATAGAAAATATTTACATCAGTTTTATATTTTATTTTATTTTTATTCATATCACTTGTATTCATCATGTATATTTTTATTATTTTTGATAAGTCAAATATTATATAGAACTAATTATTTTTAAAAATACTTTTAAACGCTAAAAATAACATAAAATTCAACAGTAATAGTTGTTATGAGATTTAAATATTGTTATTATTTAAATTTTGTATAAATCTTTTATATTTGTTATATTAAAAGTCAAATAAATAGTAGGGTTTTAAATATGTCAATTCAATATAAAAGTTTTGAGGTAAAATATTGATTTATTTTTAAATATTCTTATGAATTTGTTGTAAAATGAAATTTTACGTATGATTTTAAAACAAAACTATTATTAATGTATTATTATCATTATTCACATAATGAATAGTAATAAAATATCATTTCTGCCAATATAAATTATTGCGATTAGTAGTAGCGATACTAAAGTCTCATATAATAAACAATAAATTATTATTATTATATTAACAATAATTTCACGAAATAATTGTTTTTATCAATCGCGTCAAAAAGTTTTACCGATTAGCAATACTTATTATAACTTGCTATATACTGCAATAAGATATTCATAAATTTAATATAAATATATATTTAGTATTTAATATATTTAAATATATAATTAATTTAAGAAAAAAACATTATTACACCTATTTAATATTAAAAAGCCTTCAAAATTAATTGTCTTATTATTTTTTTTTTATATAAGCATATACAAATAAAATAACAGATATATAGTATGACAAGAAAAAATGTAGATAAGAATAAGGTAATCAATAATAACTTGTAGATAATAATTATGGGTCGTCATGCTTATAGGTGTATATTTGCTCTGTATACCCTTCCTGCTATTTAAACCTAAATAAATTTTTACTAATGCTTTTTTCTAGAATTTAAAATACCAATAACTAGTATAACTCATATTAGGTAGCGATTTCATTGTGATCTTGAAGGTTTTTTGTTTTTAAATGAATATTTTTGTATAATGATTGACTATTATTCTATTATTGTTACTGTTCGATTTTAAAGTTTAGTTTATGGCTCGAACTATCAATTCAATAGTTCAGTGGATTAGTCTCTCGGCAGGATAACTTCAAATTAAATAATAAGTGATAAGGCTGAAAAATATCATTTATTTAGTAAAACAATGTTTATTATTGTAAAAGATTATAATAATATTGCACTTTGATGTAAAGAGAAATAATTCAATTGAAGTAGTGAGAGTGTATTCTTGTATTCTTGATTATTGTAGTTCTATGGATATGACTGAGTATCTTGAAGTTGAGGCAATGCTGATGTCGTAAATATCAGCAGGTGTAGTCAGTCAATCATGCTTATGAGGTAGCATGAGAGGATGGTGTTTGAATTAAGTATGCTTGATGGATGTATAGTTATACTTGATGTGGTGTCAGATGTTTAATGGAATATATTACGTAATCAATTGTATCTTTAATTATTTATGGGGCGGTAAAAAAGTGTCTAGTTACAGGTAAAGAGTCATTAAAGATAAGATTTCTAACTCATGAAGGATTTAACAATCTGTATTTATAGTTTATTAGTCGATCTGTTGTTGTCCTTGTGTGACAATGTGCTTTAAGGCATAGCGACTTGCGTCAGCTGTTGAGGGCTTGTACAATGTCGAAATGTTAGTTCGAGAGAGCGTAAGTGTGCCCTGGTTCTGCTAGCGGGCCTGTACGATGTCGAGGGATCAGTTCGAGAGAGCGTAAGTGTGCCCGATCGACTTTAGTGAGAGATGTGACTTGTTTATTTTTTAATATACGGTGTACCTGGTGAACTGCAGGCTGGATATGTTAGATGCTGTGTAGTTGATGTCCCCTTTGATTACTATTCCATTGGCTTCACTGTAATCACTATCTAATCTGCCGATTTCTTATTCTTATGCGCGCGTGTATTCTTAACTATGCTGCCCAATATATGGCTACGCGTCGTCTTCACAGTACACTATACACTGAGCGGCAGTTACGCTTGAATGAGCGCGAAGTGATATTACAAATGAGCCCTTTGAATACGCGCACGAACCGAAGGCTTGATCGTTCGTTCCGTGGCGGCTCTGCTGAAAATACCGACCGTTCCATGCCGGTCCTGCTGAGGGCAGATCGAGAGCTGTGTGCCGTGGCTTCTACTGGTAGATGGTTAGATCGGTTCACTATGTTCGGTCACGGCAAGATGTTAGCCGCAAGCGCAGTTGAGCGAGGGTAGTTCGGCAAGAGATGATTTTCAGCAAGAGGTATCTTCACCAAGAGAGGGAGGCGCGCCGCGTGCGTCCCTTATATAGCCACGCGGCGGCTCACTTAGCTGGCAAGAAGGCATCGTCGTTGTTGCACTAATTGTTACACGAGGCGTCGAAGGAAAAATGTAGAAACTTCGAGAATGTTCGACGAGAGAAAAGTAGGAGTCCTTGGATGATCTTACAGTATATTATATTTCTGGTCGTAAACTTGCTCGGACTTACCGAGTTTTGTGTGTAAGCATTCGCTCAAGTGCGCGTCCCGGTCCGCACGTGCGTGCCAATCTAAGCGCACATGCTGTACGCCGGACAGCGCGTATGACCTTTCTTTTGTTTGAAATTCATGGGACTGCATCAATTCCGAACAGATACCTATAATAAGGATTTATCTTTTTTCTTAATTTCTTCAAAATTATTCTAATGTCTCTTATTTTAAATGTTTCTTCTATAATGTTAGATATATTCAACATATCTCTTTAAAAAACAGGTCGAACCAAATTTGGTTTAGTTCAAAGACAACTAGTCCAATTATTTCTTAATAAAATAGGTAAATAATTTACATTCACATTCATTTTCCTAAATAATAATTAATGGATATTCAGTATTCATTATGAAGACTAATGTTTAATTTCTATCATACAATCTTTGTATTTTCACTACCTTATAATTATATAATAATTAAAGAATATCAATTAGCTTGTTATAACTCATTAAAATTACTTAATATCGTTATCGGATTTCCTGCATATCTATAACACCGATGCTATTTTAACTGGCTTGACGATTAGTTAAGCATAAAAATCCAATTTCGCACAGTAGCTACGAATGTTCATCTTATGAGAATGACAATACAGAGTGAATAACCTAGAGGACTAACGAATGTTAGCTCGTATAATTAATTGAAATTATTTAGACAAATCTATTAGGATATAAATATGGTCTTTAAAAATTTTCTCTTATTCAATTACCACAGAAAATTTGTTACAAAAGCATAAACAAAAATGGCGACACAAGTGTAATATCATAATGATAAGAAAGCAGAATTTGTAAGAAGGTATATTTTATTAGTTTTTCGTAATACTTTAGAAATCTTTAAGGATTGCAACCTTTTAAAATATTTTAAACTGATAGAGGATAATGAATTATTTATAATAGCTCAATAAATAAAATAATAATATTGCTTCGCTTTGTAATATTAATTACAGTTATTATAACAGTTCGATGGGTACAGCAACTAAAATTTTACACAGCTAATTTTTTTCCATTGATAGTTATTATTTTATCTTGATCGTTAATATGATCGTTAGTATGATTTATTCATAAATACATATTAGTTATTCTTATTTAGTATAGAAACATATTTATTCTTATACATGATTGTATTCTTAAGCAATTTTAAGAGCTTCAAAGTTTCAATGCTAAATCTAGAGGTGCTGTTGAACGTTTTTGTTTTCTAGTTCCTAAAGCAAATATTATGTTTTAGTTTATATTGAAAAATTGAATTATAAAAATTAATGTAATTTTTATTAATAAGGAATTTAATTTTTAAGTAATTTTTAATTTTAAAGTAATAACTTACTACTAAACACAAGAAAACATGCGTTATTGCAACTTGCTCTGCATTCTATCACAATAGCTATATTACATGAAATAAATAAAATCATAATATTTCTGTAAATTCAAATTTTTAATTACATATACTAACTAGGTAACAAACTAGAATGATATTATTCGGTTAATTGTTCCGTACAAGTTTTATACTAGAAAATCATTTTTCGTGTCCTTTCTAAAAACTAAAAAGTTAATAAAGAATTTCCGACTATTTGTATAAGATATATTATCATTAAGTATTTTTATTTTATTATAAGTTTTTTTTTTTATTTTTTTTACAAATTTCTTAAAAGATAACATTCAATATAACCATAAATATGAAACACTCATTGTATTTCCAACTCATAACTTTCATTAAAAATTCAACCGGATTGTTTTATATTTAAAAGAATTATTATTCTTATAATAAATATAATTATGAAATATATGACATTTACTATTTGTACATTTTATAAGAATGAAAATCATCAAATTTAATATTTTTTATGATACTATTGAACAACGAATAAACGTTGGCTTACCATTACAGCCTATAAGACATTCACGTCTAAGATCATACATAATGGATTCTGGAAAATATAAAATAAATGAAAAGAATATAATATTTATGAAGGAGGAAAAGAAATTTAGATATTTTAAAAAAAGAAATAAAATCACATAATTAGAAACTATAATCACAAAGATTAAAATTAATTTAATAGATTATTCCCATAAAATTTGCGAGCTTTATAATAAGAGTAGAAAGAAATATTCACTTGAACTCAAATTTCTAGGTTTATATATGCTTCATTTTATCTTTTTTAGTAACTTCTTTTAAAATCCAATATATAATTAAAAAAAATATTTATAACATGTTACTAGATAAATATAAATATTAGTGATTATCGAATTTAAAAATATTAGCAAGAAAAAATTATTTAATATATTCTGTAAAGAATATAAATGAATGATTTAAGTTTCAAATAATAAAATATATATAAATTATTGAATATTAAGTTACGATTTAATGAAAATTGTATACTATAAAATTTGTATAATACCGCAATGAACTTCGAAGTTAAATTCGTATTTACTACTTCTGATTTCATATTTTCTTATAAAAAAACATCATAAATGGATATAAAATTAGATTATAAATTGTTATTAAATTTCTAGAAATTTTATTTTGCATAAAATTATATATTATAAAATAATATTATAGAATATTGTTTTGTATAATAATATTTTGAAAGTATAATTATTATATAATTTTAATGTTTTAGTTAATTGAATGTGTATACTTCAATTATCATAACAAATAAAAGAACACAATATACATGTATATAAAAATATGTACTTTTAAATTTAATTTCACTTACTTGAAAACTTTTTGACGCATGACAAATGGCACTTTTGTTGTTTATGCTCTAGTAGGGCTATATTAAAATACAGAAATTCTTTTTCATAATAATTAAGAGAAAATTTTATAAGTAAAAACTTACATTAATATCAATTTTCTTTTACTATCATTTATTATCATAATATATATCAAACTCAAATAATAATATTAAGATGAGTTGATATTTCCCGAATAAATTTTAAATACTTGCGCACTTTTTCTAAAGTAGAAAGGGGCGTAAAAAAAGACAAAATCGAATTTCTTTATAAATAAACTACTAATAGTACTTATTTTCATGGCTAAAAATAAAAATAGGAAACTATTGGTATACCATCAGAAAATATTGAATCTTTACTAAACATTAAAAACGAAATTTTCATAATTTATATACCAATTGGATAAGCACATGAAATTCTCTTCAAATTTCTTAGCTTTAATGTAACATAAAAACTTCTATTTATATTTATTTATATTATATTATTGAAATATTTAAAAATATTTCATTATATTCTATATATTTTGCTATAGGATTAACATTACATTAATATCAGCATACTAACGTTAATTATGATTCTTATTATCTAAATAAAAATATATTATAATTTATATTTGTCTATATTAGTATATATATAGTGTCATCATTTTATTTTAGAATTTAAAATTCTTTTCAATTCCTGTTCAACAGGCTATAATAATCGATCAATAACATTTGTACAGAATTTCAAATGTATATATGTATATAACAATATATATTGTTATTGTTATTGTTAATGCAAGCTAACTATATGTTATCTGAATTTAACAATGTAAAAAAATTTCTGCTATAATATAAAATTTATCTTCAATTAAAAATTTCTAATCCTTTGAATTAATATTATTACACTTTTAAAATTAAAAAATATATTAAAATTATACTGCGAGTACATTGCGATATAAATAATTGGAATCGTTCAAAACCACTATTACGTATAATATCCGATTATATTAACACATTTTTAAACCAATTTTTATGTGTTATTATATAATAAATATATATCATACCATTACAGCAATTATGACATTCATTTCTTGTATACGGCAGTTCTTTTACTCCTACACAATTTAAAACATATAAATAATTCATATTTTATTATAAATATTACAAAAATTTACAATACCTGTAGTAAATATTACGAATAAGAATAAAAATAATAAAATTAATATTGAACAATACATTTTTTAAAATATTTTATATTGTTTTACTATAACTCAAAAAGAATTTTATGCTGCACATTTTTCATATATTATTCAATTATAAATATGTTTTAAAGTATAAAAATACAACTATTAAGTAAATAAATAGGTTTATTATCAAAAGTATTTTTAATATATTGCTTAAACTACAATCATATATTACTTTAATAGATTTGTTGTTAGTATTTTTTATATAACTTAAAAGTTAATTGACATTAATAACTAATAATTATATCATAAAATTACTTTTAAAGTAAGTATACTATGTACTCACCATATATTATGTTATCGCTATTCGAATTTGTATATCGAATAGAAAAGAATGAAAGTCTCTTAATCATAGATTTATTATGACTTTTTAAATTGCAATATTAGGTTATTTATCTCATTCATTACACATTTGATTTTATTTTTTCTCAGAACACAAAAATATTTCTAATATTTGAATGCGAAATATAAAGTATTGTTCAATATATTTGCACATCTAAGAAAATATAATGCATACAATTGACGGTACAGTAATTGCGTCATTTAAAGCGTTTTTTTTTTCAAAGTAAATTATACATATATATATATATATATATATATATACATATGACATTTTCACCAAAAACAAGCAAAATACAAAAAAAAAATATATATATATAAATACATATAATACATGCGGCAAAAAACAATGTTTTAGTGTAATTTTTTATTTATTTACAAATGTTTTGTATTATTTATTAATAATACTTTTAAAAATTTATAATCAATTATTTATAGTTCCCCTATTTTAATTATTATACTTATTCTTTTATAGATTTATTATTATTACTTCTTTTGATGCTCAAATATTAACTAATATAATATTATATTCTTTATATAATTTTAGTAATAATTTATTATATATTATTAATATAATAATGTTATTATAAAATTATTACATTAATATTATTGAAAGTTTAGTTTTATTTATTTACAACCTAAATTGAAAATTATATTCTTACCAAAAATTATTTCTTATATGAAGTCACTTAATACTGTTGTTGATAGTTACTGACACTTAATATGACTTATCTATGATAATTCAATATTATCTATGATATTGTGAAAATTGCTTCGTAAGTTTATTATTTATACTAAAATTTGTATAACAGTAAGCTAAGGCTTTCATATTTTTATTTCATTTTTTCTTTAACATTCTCTAAAATATTTATATTAGAAGATAAATTACAATAATTTAATTTAAAAAATTGTAAATCTGCGTAAATAAGAAATTCTAGAATAGAATTTAAATCATTAATTTCCATATTGATCGTGTACGTACGAGATTTTAAAATGACAATAATGTTAAAACTTTTTTCATTATGACTTCGCAAATTAAATTATTTTTTAATTAATTATCTGTATTAATCTAATTATTTTTAATATAAATATAAGATTAAAATAAATATTTATTTTAATATTAAAAATATTTATTTAAAAGTTTTTGAGTTTATATATTTATATAAACTAGAATTTTTACAATTATTGTTATTTAATTGTATTCCTATATATTTCTGACTTAAAGATTGGTATATTATGCCAAATAAATTTGGACAATAATATAATTTTCCTAATATTTAATTTTCTTTTGAATCACCTTTATTATTTTTCTTTATTATATTTTTTAAATTAATGCTAAATAAATATTCTGTATTTAGATAACTCTATAGTATATTAATAATATATTGCAATATTGTTTAATAGCAGATATTAAATAGGATTGATTAAATATTTACATGAAATTTAAATAAACTTTTAAAACTTAAATGACCTCCCTTTCTATAAAAATTGAACAATTTTTAATCGCATAAATAAAAATTCTTAAATCCTTTTATGCTCGTGATGGCTTTTGTTCAGATCTGTTTTCCTTGATTTAAAATTATATTCCCAGTATATTGCAATAAAAATATTTTAATGATATTAAAAATATCAGTATATACAATATTTAATTAAATTAACGCATTTGCATATTGTGATTTATACAATTAATGCAATATTTCAGACATTATATTTTTGTATATGTTAATTATTTTATCCCAATATAATAAAAAAAATAAATATGCATAATTACTTTGTTAATATAATTACTATTACAAATTTACGATTATGGTAAATGCTATAAGAAATTTTAAAAATAATAAAATTTATTAAATATTTGATATGCTTTTATTAAAGTTTTTTCATCATAAATTGTTCGTATGAAGTATATTAATAATAAGCATTTCTGAATATAAAAATAGAATATGTCTAAATATAAGGCTTCATTTTAACAATATTTTAAATTGTAACGGCACCTTAAATGAAAACTATATATTAAATTATAACTATATATTACTTTAATTCTGTTTTCTTTGTAAATAATAATTTCTTTATTAATTAATTATTCTAATTATTTAAAATAAATAAGTAAATATATAAATAAATATTTAATAGTATAATATATTGCATTAATAATGTATTCAATTTTTAAATATAAAATAAATTTTTTATTATATTATTAGCATTATTTTACATATATAAATTTAAAATTTAAATGTATTAGATTGTATTTCTCAGTCATTCACTACATATTTGAAATAGAAACAAATTAAATATTGTTAATTCTATTTCATAATTCCTCTTTATTCAGATTAATGTAAACCAAATTTTTAATCTGATAATTAAACCAAAATTTAATTTAGCCCAAAACAATTAAGCTTAAATAATAAATATAGAATCATATTTCAATTTTCGAAATTCATATGCATTTATATATATTTATCAATATGATTCACATATAGTTCAAATATATTCTATCTATAATAAAATAAAACTGTATATTACTTATTACTCACTTATGTCTTCTTATGTAATACATGGTAATCAATACAATTTAAGCAGACACTTAACTCAGAAGGGCAATAGAAATAAATAAATGGTTTTTCAAAAAATTTACTATCTATGAATTTGAAACCAATATTAATCTTTATATATAAAATAAATTATTTATGGTTGGTAAACATTAATATCACTTTGATAAAAATGAAAAAATGTTAAAATATTATAATATATTATTTAAATTGAATTATGAAAAAATAAGAACTTAAGTTTAATTCTTAAAATTTAAGAATATGTTTCAAATTAAACAGAAATATAAAAAGTTCATATCATTAATATATTCATCTATACAATTATTAGATGAGTTTTATTTCTACTTATTTATTAGTTTCTATATAATTTTTAATAATTATTCATTTGTCTTGAGATAATATTTACAATTCGTATTAAAGTCAAAAAATTCATTTGTTACCATTAATAATTCTCATTTAAAATTTTAAACATTTTAAAATTAAATATTATACAAATTTATAAATACTAAAACAACTAAATTTATTTTCATATTTTATTTAATATTTTATAAATGATACATGAAAATATACGTAGAAGTTTTTTTAATAGTTACAAGTATTTATTATTATTAATAGTTAATTATTTGTTATTTGTTATTGTTACATATAAATATTTTATTAGTTTGTATGTTTCACTCCCAAATATGAATACGGTCTTGAAATCCTTGTTCTATTATAGTTCTCTAAAACAAATTTCAATTGAAAGAATTGAACGTGAAATTAAATTAAATGAATAATTTATATTATACAATTCTGTTACTTTTTATGAACATAGATTCACATGCTGAAATGCAACCATCTCTGCATTCTTGTGCTATAACTACATTCGAGAAAATATGAAATAAAATATTTAAATAAGATTGCTATTTAAATTAAAATTTGAGTATTAAACAATTTATATGATTTATTATGTAACGTTAATATATTAATTATTAAGAAGACAAAAGGAAATTCTTTTTTAATTATTTAAAATATAAAAATTAAAGAAGTTAGAAACGATAATATAATAAAATAGAACCATTTTTGGATGCGTAAGTAATTTCAGGACTACTGTCCATTAATTATCAAATACATTTTATATTATCTATTAAATATTACTTAATTGATGCAATATTAAATCTACTATCTTCCTGTATAAATTTTGTTTAAATAAATAAAAACTGTAGGAAAAATTATAGTATTTATAACATTTTAAGATGTAAAATTACATAATAATGTAATATGTAAACCGTAAGAATATCCAATGTAGATAATAAACTATATGTAATTAAAAAATTAATTTTTTATTATATTTTAATTTCATAATTATTTTTAAATTTAATTTAAGGAACCTTTCAAACAATGTTCTTATTTCCTAAGCAAAAATAAAATTTTTTGCTTTAAATTGTGCATCAAAATTCTGAATATTAAAATTAATAAATGTTGTTTCTTTGCTATACACAATTATAAGTCTATTAAAATTGTTTAAATAACGAGTAAAATATTCTGTAACATTTTCAACATTAATAAACATTAAGTAATTAATTGTCCAAATTGTTTTTAATTAATTCTACTAATTACGTAAATAATTTAATTTATAAATGCTATATTATGGAAAATGAAAACAAGACGCAGACATAAATATGTAAATATTTAATCATTTAAACATTGATATTTATTAGTTTATTTTGTGTGCGTATGCGTGCGTGTGTGCACGCGCATGTGTGGGCTTTGTAACACATTTTAATACGTACATTATTTTAATACGTATATTATACGTATATTATATATATTTGTATATATAAAAGCTTTCTTATAATTATATTAGACGCGTATATAAAATATGAAAAATAAAATATTAAAATATTATGTATAATTGTTTATAGATATATCATAAAAAATGAATGACTTACTATTACAACCCCTTAAGCAATCACGTACTGAATTATACTTAATATGTGCTAAATAAAAATGAAAATAAATATAATTTAAAAAAAAAATCAATTTACATATTTAAACAAGTAATTAGATTGAGTAAAGTAAATATTTATTAATGAATAAATTGAAATGTTATAAAATGAAATTCGTAGTCTTTCATATCAAAAAATACCTACTTCATACAATAGTCCCATAAAACAGATACTGCAATCTCAAACTTGTACATTTTTATATATTAATATTAGCAGAATATTTGATAATAATCAAGATCAAAATCTAACAACAATTCCAAAGAATAGAATTTATTGTGCTTTTGAATTATGCTTTTATTATTAATGTATATTATTAAATATACACCTGGATAATGAATTTCTTAAATAATAAATTAAATTCATCACATAAGCAAAAATATTATATTACTGGCGTTAAATATAAAATAACTTAATTATAATAAAATTACATAATACTTTGTAAAAAATGTAAAATTCAATAACAGACTTCAATAACAATATTTACTTGGATCATAACTCATGACATCTAAATTAGCAGTATTTGATATTATAATGAATGTTATAATGAATACTACGAAAACTTAATTTTCATCTTATTTAAATAAAAAAATCAAATTATATAAAAAAATTTATATTATTATGCCGACGATATTGATAAATCAATAAGGATAAATATTTGATGGCCCTCCTAATCTCGGGTCTTCAAAATATTTCTAAATTATAATAATTATTAAATATTATTTTTTTATAGTATAGATTGTTGTAAATGAAAAAAACCCTATATTTATGTCGTTATAAATTTATCATATAGGTAAAAAAAAAACAAGTATGGTGTAAATAAAATTTATTTACATATGTAAAGAGTTTTAATAAACGTTAAAGTGAAATAAAATATTTGTAAAATAACTTTTACAAATAATTTATGCATAAAATAATTTGTTTATAAAACCGTGTCCGGTAAAAAAATATTTATAATAAAAACATTATATAAACTATAATACAACAGCCGATATTTGGTGAGATAATTACTAGTAATAGGTAAACAAATTTGTCATATAATTTATGAAAAGTGTCCACCATAAATAAGTATGTGAAAGAATTGTGAAATCAATTTCGTTTTGAAAGGATCTATTTAAAATAAAGTATTATTCATATTATTTAATGAATTACGAAATAGCTATTATTGTACTAAGGTAGTGTAATAGAAAAATATTATATAATTTCTAATTCAGTAATAATAATGATGTTTTATTAATAAATATTAAAATTAAATTTCAAAACTTGCTTATTTAAAAATTTTATAATATTGGAATTTGGATTTTTATGCTGGAATTTTTATCAACATAACATTGATATTATATTTAATTGTTCCTTTATTAAATTAATTTACCTTGTTATTTTGTATGTAAAAAATAAAAAATCTTCTAAAAAGACATTTATTGTGTGTTTTATTTTTTTCAATGTAGACGAATTAATTTATCAATTTACAATAAATTTATTATTGAATATATTATTATTGAACTTATATATTTGAAATGAAACTATTATTTTTATTTAAAATTTTAATTCTAGTATGATTTTTGTTTTGATTTTATTTGTATTTGTTACCATATATACAAGATTAAAAAGTACTTAAATTTTATTCCACTTACATGAATACTTTTTGATGCACGAATAGTTGCAATTATTTTTTATTTCTTCTGGAAGATTTAGAGCTAAATACGAAACGAATTAATTTAACATAATAACAAATTATAATAAATAATTAATATAGGAATTTTATGATTTGATGGCATTCTTATATTCTTTTATATTTAGATTTTATACACAATGCCAACTCATTAAATATAATACACGCATTAAATATAGCAAAATGGATAAAGCAAAATATATAAATTTTTATTTCAATTCAGTAATCTTTTAAAATGTGTATATTTAAATTTTCGTTTATTGCTATAGATTCATTATAGATGTTTCATGTACATAAACATAAAATCTCTTTAATTTACATTTACCTTAGACTATTATTTATTACTTGTGTAGTAATAATAATTTTTTTTATTTATGTTTATTTCTTATAGAAATAATTAGAAGGATGCTTCTACATTATGATAAAAATAAATTGAGTTAATAATTATCAGCATAAACAATATTTAAGTATACAATATATTTTTTAACAAATATATTTTGTAGAGATTTTTTCATGTTTAAATTTTAAAAATATGTTTTATACCATTGCAACATGCATGACAATTCTCCTTTGTAAATGTAAGTTCTCTTCTTCCTAAATTTAAAGATAAAACATTTAAAGGTCAAATTCTAAACATCTTTAATATAAAAAAAATTGTGTGTTGTTTTTAAAACAAAAATACCTGTAGGCATTGCTAAACTGCAGATTAAAAAGAACGAAATTAATATTGAAAAATGCATTATCTATTTGGGATACTTATATAAACTTTATTATTGTATATTGATATTTTAAATATGATTTTTATTTATATATGTTTTGTGTTAATAAAAGTTTGTATATAAAATCTGTATATAATTACGAAAATAACAACTTTTAATAAATCTATATGTGCTCTTTATGAAGTTTTATTTAATAGTTTTGTTATTCATATTTTTCATAATAATTTAAATATTAATTAAATTTTTATATTATTATAATTGTTTTATTTATATTTTAGATAACACAACTGATAATTGTTAACTGAATTCGAAAATTAATTGACCAAATATTTTATAATTTTTTTATCAATAGATTTATAAATAATCATAATTTACAATATTCAGAATATTTTACGTCAAGATAGTTTTAAAAATGATTTGATAAAATGTATGCAAAATTTCTTGAAATTTCTGTAAAAAATTTAAATGTAAAAATATAAAGATATATGATTTTAAATTAGCAAAAACGACAGCATAAGTACCAATCAACTAATTGATATAATTCAAAGTTTATTTATAATTATTATACTTTATTCGACTGCGGTAAGTTTTCTCGATCATAAGAAAGAATTGGAGTACAATAAAGTTGTATTAAATTACTCTTATATGTATAGGTAAATTTTATTGAAATTATATATATATATATATATATATATATATATATATATATATGCAATTACAAATCGCTTGGAGAATGATTGAGTAGAAAAAGAAATACTGATTCAAATAAGAATGAAATATTTAGAAATAATAAAAAAAAGTACAGCAAACAAAGAATTTTTTAAAACGTCCTTCCTACCTGGACTTTTTGCTATTACATTGTTCATTAGCTGATCAGGATCACTTACAACTTACCTAACATATATTATTATGATATCAGCCTATGCTTATGCCTTGCAAAATTCTTCAAAATCTTCCTTCCCTAGTTTAAGCAGCATGATAAATGTACGAACAATGGAAACTGTAAATTATTATATTTTTAAAGTGCAAAAACATGCATCTTATAAATCTTCTAACTCTTACTCGGCTTCTTCCAAAAAGAAGGAAATAAAATGAAACATATTTAATTCGTGTACACACAGATTCCCACACTCTGCAAAATTTATAACTAAGCACATACAGATATTCTGCAAAATGTGTGCTTTAAGATACATATTTTATTACATAGCATATATTGAACACTATGACACCTTAACTTAAATTGTTATAAAAACAAATAAAAATTTAACAAATATAACTGAAAGAATTTGCTGTCAATGTTAAATATTTTAGAAATTGCATAGCGCTTCGATTTTTTAGAAACATACTCGAGCTTAATACTAAACGGAAATTTGCTTTATGTTCATATCGTATCATATCATTTATGATGTGTCGATCCAGCATCTCTTTTATTTCATAAAATTCGGTATTTTAAAAAAATTATGTTTTATTTGTACATTGTATTGCCTACTGGTTAGCTTAGAACGTCACGACGACCGTTGCATGCATGTTATTGATATTAACAATTTCAGATAACTAAAGTAAACTGTGAAATTATTCGTTATTTATGAATTATAATAATATATGAATATTAGAATTGCACTTACGATAGTATTTTTAACTATCAACCTTGGTGGTTAATAGAAAATGTGTTTAACTCTTTTTTATTTGATAAAAATATCTAGGTTCATGAGTCGGTTACATATATTAGAAATAAGATATGTATATAGCTACATGTGAATTAATATAACATTTCATAATTGTGAACCTATACGTCTTAAGCAGAATTTTTTATTATAAGAGAAAAGTTGATGTTATTCGCATAGATGTTCATTCTTTAGCATTCGAAATCTTTATGCCTGTTGCGTATACCTAACTCTTTTAATCCTTATTATTACCACATCTTTTATATACACTAGCAATTACTCTGCGTTTGAATCCCTAATAACGCAATTATAAAAGTCCATACTTTTTATTATAATCTAAATATAAATATGATATTTTTGCCCTCAAAAAATATTCAATAGTACACTTGTACCATTACAACTGTATTAACCAATAGTTGATACAAATTTAATCTGTTTCTAACAACTTTTATTAACAACAAAAAGAGTATATTTTTTCCATAAAAAACGCTAAATTAGCCTCTACAAAATATTCTATAATTGCTTTAGTTATTGCTTTCATGTAGCAGATTTAATTAATAATAACAAAAAATAATTGAAAGAAAATCGCATTGTTTTTCAATATAGACTAAATATTATAACAAATTTGGAAATTTTCTCTCTAAAAATATTGTCTAACATACTAATAAATATCCCTCAATAATTCATAAATATACGTGAAGACACGCTACTGATGGTAAAAAAAATCATAAACAAATATATGTTCCTTACAAATTACAACATCCCTTTTACGCTTGAGATGGGTACATCCGTCTTGCGTGTCACGCATGCACGCGCACGTGTGTATGTGTGGTTTGGCATGCCTACCCGACCTAACTTCCGAATCATGATGATAATATAAGCTCTGAATAACATATATTTTGGTAATTCTGATATAAATAATATTTATTTTTGGTTGTTTATAATTTATTATTTATAATAAAAAATTATTTATAATTAAAATTGCTAAATTATTATTTTAAATTAGCTTTTGCATTAATTAACTGAAAACGACGGACAATATTTGAACATTTGAATCTATCACTGCCAGTAGCTTCTATCCATAAATGGATAGAGAAAACATTAAAACATTACAAACGTGTCAAATTTTAAATTAATAGATCTATAGTGTGTAAGTAAGTTTCTCTATTTATTAGTGGGTATTTTTGATGATTTGTATTTTTCTTATTTGTTCTAATTGAACAAGAGAAGATCTTGAAGTCTTATTCGATGAGCAAAACTGTGAATTTATGAGCAAAAGTACTGTAGTACATCAACTGTAGTATATACGATTATATAAACATTGTTTATAAATTTTAACAAATACATTTTAACTACAATTATATAAAATACTAATTATTTTATTTGATACTTATGTTTTCGTAAATCATGCAAGTTTTAAAAAAACTCACCGATTTACTTTCAAGCAATATACAAAAATGAGAATTAGTTCTATATACACAATGTAAGCTAAACCCAATTTATATCGGAATAAAACTGGCAGCACTGCGTTTATAAAACTTGCGTACTGCCATCGTAATTGGATATAATAATCTATATCGTTTGATAAGCGGTGGGAATGTTTATTCCAAATTGTTATACGTGATAAGTTCATTATAATTAAATATATTCTATATAGAAGTACTTATAATACATTTTTGTATTCAATAATGAATTTCATAATTTATTCACGTGTATTAAATAATAAGACTACTTGCCTACTTAGGAACGTAAATAATTCCAGAGGTTAGTTTTCATTTTTAGTATTCATATTTATACAAATTTTTGTATTGTGCGTTCTAATATTATATTATTTAAAAGTTATTAAAACTAATTTTAATCTTTTTTAAAGTAAATATTTGTACAAGTCGACAAAGACCACAAAATATTGTGGAAAAAGAAAATGATGAAGTAATTATTATTCACAAATACTCTTTCATAATGTATTAATAAAGTATGAAATCTAATGTCTGTAATACATTCTTTTTAGCCCATTGAAATGGAGAATCCATTTCTAAAAGAAAGGAAATCTTGTATTTTTTGTAAATATGATATTCATCCTGACTATAAAAATGTCAGATTATTATCTCAATTTCAAAGTCGATTTACTGGTAGAGTGTATGGACGTCATATTACAGGTTTATGTGCAAAACAACAACAAAGATTAGAGAGAGAAATTCACAAAGCTCAATTTGCAGGTTTGTATATAAAACTAATTAGAATAACAAAATTTTATTTAAAATTTAACAGTATAGAAAGCTTATTTATGTTAAATACAATATATCTATATGATTATTTTAATTTAGATAAAAATTGTAAATTTGTAAATCATTTTATAATTTACATATATAGTGAGATGTATATAATTGTATGGAAAATAATATTGTTTCTCTTAATAAAAAAATAAACAGTAGAATAATAATTTTCAGGTTTAATGGGGTTCATGACAAAAGATATGAAGTATGTCGATGATCCTGTACTTTTACGAATAGATCCATTAATGCGAAAAATTCTTTAAATAATTTATTATATTTTTATATAAATAATGTAATAAATGTAATAAGCGTTTTGTGAAATAACAAATATTTAATATATTTTAAATAAAATTCTAATGAAGAAATGGTATTAAAATTTGTTTCATTTATCGAGGGTTGATAATCAAGTTTCTCATACCTATTTAGATGGCGCTTTACCCAGTTTTTCTGTTACAACACACTGGAAATAAAGTTTTAGTTTGTTGTGGTTTATGTTGCGGTCCAGGTAACGATAAAAAAGGATAAAAAGGAAAAATTAATCGATATGCAAAAATGCTGGACGATGCCGAGCTGTTTTTACAAATTTGCCAAAAACAAGGAATCCTTGTTGAACAAGAAATTATCGAGGCGTTCAAAACAAGCTGGTGATTTTAAGCCTTTAATTTAGCGGGAAAATTTCGAATTGTTAACCGAGAATTTTATGATACTTCTTGAAATGAGAAATAACTTGTCAATTTTAATTTTTAGTAAAAATTTTCAAGGAAATTTTAATGACATAATTCTATAATGTTTTTATTTAACATAATACACAGTTAATTCATGTATACTATTTTATAATCAATAAATTTTTTATAATTTATTTTTAAAGCAATTAAATTTATACCTAGTTAAAATAGATGTGCATATAATAATATAGAAGTAAAAAATTATAAGCAAAATAATTAGGTTATAATTATACAATCATAAAAGTCATTGGCAATCTTTTAAAGCTTCTTTTTAGTTCGACAGGAGAATTACAACTTGCTCACACATCTATAATAGCTAGTTTATGTAAAATTATTGGTCAAGTGTTATCGTCAAGTCCTATTATTAAGCTGGTGAATCTTAGTGATTGTATGTTGATTCCAAAAGGATCAAGCTATATTTTAAAAGCACTTTTTGAAGGATCAAGTGTTTCATCATTATATCTCAAGGGTAACAATATAAATGGTCCTTTGGTTGAACAACTTGGTGAAATGTTAATTCATAATAATACTCTTAAAATTATACATATCGAATGGAACAACTTAGGATCACAGATTGATTGTTTTTATAAGTTTTGTGATGGTTTAGCAAAAAATAATTGTTTAGAAGAGTTAGATCTTCGATATAATCAAATATCTACAAATTGTGCAGATCCACTTGTCAAAGTTTTAACACGCAATAAGAACTTAAAAAAATTAGATTTAGCTTGGAATTCTTTAGGTAATATTCTACAATATCATAATTATATTGACATGATTTAAGTATTATTAATAGATATTTTATTTTCATATAGGTACGAATGGTGGTAAAAAGATTTTACAAGGTATTCAAACAAACCGTGTATTATTATCTTTAAATCTTAAAGGAAATTGCATACCAAATGATATACATTCGGCTATAACTGAACAAATAATAGAAAATAAAAAAAGACGAATATTGTGTGAAACACCAATAGTTTTAAAAGAAAATATCTGTTCAGTTTCAGTTTCAAGTGAAGATGATGGGGTTTTCCAAATAAAATCTAGAATACAAACAAAAAAAAAATGGAAAGAAAGACCAACAACATCAATTGAAGAATTAAATAATATTGCTTCAGAAAATTCAAGAAATGATGATAAAAATGGTTCAAAAAATAAAACATTAATACGAATTTCAAAAAATACTGATACTGGAAATTATAATTTTACAGAAATTGATGAAAAAATGGAAGCTCTTAATAACATTTTACAAGATAGATCAGCAACTATAGATCATTTAAGAAGTGATTTAGAATCAAAAACTACAGCACTTAAATTAATACACACTGAAAATGAAGAAATAAAGTCTGAGCTTGAACGTGTTAAGGACGAAAATTCTAATATTCGTGAAGAAAAAACTACAGATATTGAAAACTTGAAAAAAGTCCACATGAAATTAGAAAAGAATTGGAAAGAATCCTACAAAGACTTAGAAGAAACATATGAAAGTAATTTAAAACAAAAACAAGAAATAGATGCCAAAAATCGTGCTTATGAAAAAGAATTGAGAAAAGCTACTTTAGAAATTCAATCTATAAAAGATAAACTTTCATCCACTATACAAAATTATGAAGATACTATATCAGAATGTAAAACTGATGTTCATCGAATAAAAAGGGAAATACAAGAAAAAGAAAATCGTTACAAGATAGAAATTAACACTTTAAAAGAAACTTTGAAAGAGTCTACAGAAGCTTTAGAAAAATGCCAAGAGCATTTGCAAAAGCTTAGAAATGAATTCCGAGAAACAGTCGAGTCGCAGTCAAAATTAAAGATGAAAGCAGATGAAAATGAAAGATTTGCAGCTAAGACGATGAAAATTGAAGAAGCTTTACATAAATCAAAGGAGGAGAGAGAGAAACTGGAAGAGAAACTTCAAGAATCAAGAAAGTCAATTGCTTACCTTCAAAAACAAGTAATAAAACTTCAAGAAGAATCGATAGAACCACAGAAAAGATATGAGGCTTTAAAAATGGAATTACAATTGGAGAAAGAAAGATCATGTAATTTGAAATCGGAACTTCAAGACCAAACTGCCAGAATTCGAGAACAAAATGACCAAGTCCAAAAGATGCTTTCTCAAGTAAATGGATTGTATGCACAAATAAGTGAAGCACAAATTAATCATGTAGAATCACTTCGAGTGAAGGAAACCGAAATCGAAAAGTTAAAAAACGTTATTATGCAAAAAACGAGAGAACTGGATGATTTCAAGTATGTATTTTAATGTTTTAGTTTTTTTAACTGTTTATTATACTTCATAAATATTTTAAAACTTTATAAAAATTTCTTTTATTTAAAAACTGTTCATTAAATGTTGTTCTTTTAAATTATATAGATTTTATTTTAAAAACATTTCATTATGCAAACGAAAACCACTCTAAATTTTATTTTAAAACAAAAAGTTTGAGTATTTGTAATTTACACCTATTTATTTTAATTATGAAATTACATAGAATCTATTAAATTGTAATATTTTTAATTAATTACTAATATTAAATTAATTCATCATTGTTTCCATGTACATTACAAAAAATAACATTTACAATAAGATAGATTTCAATTTTAAGGCAAGATTCAAGTTTTACAAATTTTTATATATTCAATATATTCTTTTCTTTGCAGATCTGAACAAGTTCAAAGAGCACATCAATTTCAAGCAGCTATTAGCAAATTTGTTGGATCTGTCGTATAAAATTGTACAACTTTTGAAAAATCGTAATGAGATACATAACTTACAAAACATTTCATCTTATTATAAACATTTTTATAGTCAGATCAAACGCAGAACATAAAACATATAATTTTGTATAGACATTAATCTTATATATACAAGTAAAATATTATCATACAGACAAATTTAAATAACATTATTTATTCTTACATAATAATGAACAGTTAAATTTAAAATAATACAAGTGTTGAATATTATTCATTTGCATAAGTATATTTATATAATTTTTAAACTAATACCTACAAATTAATGCAGACATATACATTAATTTGAATTCACATAATTATAATTATGTAAAAAAATTTATGAAAATGTTTCGAAAATAAAAATTATAAATAAAATTAAATTCAAGAAATATAATTCACATATTGTTTACAAAAAATATGTTTTAATGTAAGAATAAACATTAATTTGAAATAAGGTAATAATAAGTGCAAGGAAATAAGAACATTAATAATATATAATAAATAGTTCTTTAATAAGTTACCTCATTTATACACATTTCATTGCTATAATAAAGTATAATGTTTATCGAAGTAACCGACTTTACATTCGCAAATTTACAAAGAAAACATCGGTTTTATCGATCAAAACTGGCAGTTTAGGGCCTGATCAGTCTCTCATCGTTTGGTCCGGCTTACCAATGACCAGCTATAACGCAAAATTATATAATTCACCTTCTGAATGCATCACTTACAGTTTAATATTTTACAAATTTTTTAATGAAAAAAGGCAACTTTTGTGAGAGAAAAAAAAACTAAAAATTCATATATTAATTACAATAGCAGTTTGAAAAAAATTATACCTTGCTCCTCAAGTACGAAGCTTGAAATTATAGGTACGATAAATATATATTATCGTCTCTAATATAGAGACAATTACTGTAGTTTCTTTTAATATTCTATGAGTCAATTTATACGACACAAAGGCACACAATACATACAAGTTTTTCAATTTCACTGTTTTCATTATGTCAATCATATGAATCCTCTTATTATATAATTCACATATAGCAAATAGAATAATAAACACAAAAATATCAATTGATAAAATGCTATTTTGCCATTTGCTGAGTTTTTGTGTACCAATAAAAATAAATTCATTTATTTTGGTAATCGTCAAATTTCTGAATACGATAAATATTCTACGACTTACAAACGAAAAAATTTACTAATAATATTGATGAAATATTATTAAGTTTTGTTATTGATGTTATTTTATCAATTGGTAAAATTTTATACCAGTATTTACGAATTACACAATAACAAAAAATACAATGCATATCGTACTTACATGACTAAATTTAAAGGCCTCATAATTTAACGCCTTTAACCAATCATATTTATAAATGAACATATAAGAAAAAGAAAAGTACAGTAAATTACGACATTATACAGAATTTCCATCAAAAGACAAATCATTGATCTTAAATATCTGTCATTCTTGACCAGTGAAATGTTCTATATTTCTTATTTGCTAAGATTCTGCAAATAATTTAAAATTCATTAAAATTATACTTTCTTTTCATTTAGAATTAGTTTTTATATAATTATATACATAAAAATAATCGTATACGTTTCAATTAACACAAGATATGTAAATAAATAATTCTTTTTATGATTCACAATACTTGAAAATTTTGATAATTCAATGATAACTATTATATAACAATAATTTAATAAAAAATATATAGTTAAATATTATTTGATACAAAATTTTGTTACTTTTATTTTTTATAAAAAAGTAGTCGATTTAATAAATAAAAATAAATTCATTACTTTTTACTTAGAATACCAAAAATTTTTTTTTAACCAAACAATTTCTATATATATTGAAAATTATTTATAATTTCATGAATTAATCTCTGCTTTAATAAATGTTTTCAAAACAATTATTTAAAAAAATATATATTTATAATTGTATGATGTTATAAAATATATTCTATTAATGAAATTTTATAACTATCTATTTTATTAACATTTAGAAAATTATATAATTCCATTTTTAATTTTATAATTTTTTAATTAAATATATAACTGTATATAGTCGCATATCACTGATTTTTCTAATGGAAAATATAAGCTGTTTATATATCCTAAAATATTTACTTTACTAAATAAAAAGTATTAATCTTCCAAATAAAATTTTTGTATGCATTAAAATTCCAGAAGATATTGTTATTGAACCGGCAATTAATTTTCTTTACAAAACGCTGCCGAAACAATTCATTTACGAGACAGAATTTAGATATTTAATAATTATATACTTAGCAGATGATCTTGCAATATATGCTAGTCTTATTTGTTTGGGAAAAAGTATTTTATTATGAAACTTTTTCTTTTATTTTAATCCGTTAGTTTGTTATGAACGAATTACGATAAAATTAAATTTTCAAAAAATATTTTTTTTCTACGTGAACAAATCGTTTTTATTTTTATTTCGATACTAAAGAAGTGCTAAATTCATAACACCATTTGCTTTTATCCAAACAAATAAATATATCTCATTGAAAGAATCATACAATCTTAATATTTGATAATACGCGTAATAAAGTTATACAAATTTATTTAACAAATAATTGTATTTTTTGCTGCAAAAAATTACTCAAAGATATAAGTTAAATTCTATTTTTATGTAATCAGTAATGAAACCAAATACATTTCTATTACATCTGGATGATCAATATTTACTTATTAAACAAAACTTGTATTATCCATTTGTAATATAAAAAATAAAAATAGATTGTTCATACCTAATATGTCACGTTTTATTACATTTTATTACATCGTTTATCATTTGACTAGACTAAGTATGATAATTTTCATTAAGATATTAGGCAAGAGGGTTATGAATTTGGGAAAAATAAAATATCGAAAGTATCAAATGTAAGATATTATTTTTTAAAATATTAAAATATACTTGTGCTTAGAGCATTCTGCAATTCTAATCTAATCATTACATGTAATAACTAATCTTTTTTCTGTACAAACAACTTAAATTTTAAGCTTTCAGTCTTTCGATACATTAGATTCTAAAATTCTTACACCCTCTTTCCATGTCGCTAGCTCATACAAATAAATAAAATATAACACGGTTCTTAAGAAAAACCACACGAAAAATTTACAAAGTAAAATCGAATGTTTTAATACAAACTATTGGAACGATACTTCGATGTATTAATTCATATAAAAGAAATAAGTTAAGAATTTTCACTTAATTCTTCCGATGTAATATTCTATTATCTTATAAATTACATTTAGTAAGAAGGCGACGTCTCCCTATACTTGTACGTTTTTGACAATTTTTAGAAGTATTTATTAGTATAAACACATAAAAATAGAAAATAGATGACAATCGCGCTTTATGATTATTTTGCTATTTTATGACATCCTCAAATTGTAGAGTAACGCTAAAAAATGAATTAGCCTTTGTGTATTCGCTGTTAAAGGTTAGATAACAAGATGACCGAAAACAAGAATGTAAGAAATAACGTTGATATGAATGTCAGTAATAGTAAGAGTCTATCTTTATCTAAACATACAGGGGACTTTTCAAAACGAAAAACAAATATTGTACCAATACATAAATAAACGCCTATCACTCTCACAAGGTGTACGGATATTCCTTAAGATAGTTTCTGATGACAGGTGGAAGCCTCTCCATGTCTTTCTCGAGGCGCGCACTCCCTTGATTGACGGCAATGCGTGCAAGTTGAGAGAGTGAGCGAACCTCCTTTACGAGAGGTTCTGACAAGTAGATTTGTGAATAGATCTGGCCACTATAGTCGAGCCAAACCTCTTGACGGTGATCGTCCACATGCTTTGAGTACTCACAGTAGTATTCTAGCATTTTTATTGGACAGTCGAAGAGGGGCATTGTTAGAGCTAATCGGGGCTCCGCATCCAGGCGGAACTTCCCCATGAAGTAAAACACGCGTACTGATGTTGGACCTCGTGCAGTCTGAACAGATATTGCAAATGTATACCTGCGAATAAAAAAATATTTTCAATGATTGATATCCAAATCAATAATCTTATTGATCGTGAAAGGGTTTCCATTCTCGCATAAAATAAATATATTTATTGAAATATGTAAATAGATTTATTGAATAACATAAAAATATAAGTTAAAATATTATTATATAAATATTCAGATCAGAAACTATTTCACCAACATGTACTTTCACGCGTGATATTCAAATTTCAATTCTATCTCCTAACGGACAACTTATACAAAGTTGAATTGGCACAATTTTAGGAGCCCATACCACGCTTCGCTCACCTGCTGTCGGAACTATCCCTCATAAGCCACCTGCCAACAGGCGCATCTTTAAGAAGGTTTTCGCTTTGCTGCCAACTCAATCCCTCGTGGTACCAGCCGCAGGTTTGCAGGAGTCTGCGTACCTCCGCAAGCCGCGCCACATCCTTCTCCGGCAAATAGGTGGTGTCGCACTCCCAGGGGCAAGCCGACATCAAGGACATAGGTATCCAGGGCGATTCATCTCTGTTGACGGTATCACTAATCCCGGCCCCGTAATGATGCCCGCTCACAATGCCACCCCCGTTGAGACTGTTACGAGGTCCGAGAAGACCTTTGCTCGACTCTGAGCCACCGGCTGACGTCGCTGAAGCCGTTATATTAAGAGTGCAACTGCCGAGAGTGGCAGTAGTGGTACTCACCGAAGGTAAGCGTACTGTAGCATTCAACTGGATACGCACATCACCTGTTATTCAGAATGTCAAACTGTTTAGAGATTGATATAATTGTTCATCATGCGTTTCCAAGTGTTTTCAAAAAACCAATGATTGCCAATTTTTAATTAAAATTTATTAATTTAGCAATTTGATCATTATGCTTTTTTGAAAGGTACGGCAATACTTTGATTATTCTTATAATTATTTGGAAATAATAATATATCGATCAATGGCCATGGTATGTATATATTATAAAATCTTAAAAAATGTAAAACAACGTACAATATCATATCATACATGCTTTGAATCAATTTATTAATTTTATATAAATAGCTTAAATATTATAAGTAAATTATTAAAGTATTTGTAATACTTTTAAAATAAATCATATTACAGATGACTATTTATTAAAAGAATGGATTTACAAACTTATTTTGTTTTCCTTAATCCAATGTTATTAATATGTGAATATAATTTTCATATATTATGTATTTATTTATATTTTACTTTTTACTTTTACCTTTATAATATTATAATCAATATTTATTATCAAATAAATTTAGAGAATTAAAAAATCTCTTTGATTTTTATACAACTATCTTAGTGGAAAAAGCTTGCATTTTTAAACAAACTTTGAAACAATATAGCGACGTATAAAATATTTTTAATAAACAATAAAGATGAAAGATAAATTTCTTTATTAGTGCATTATACCAACAATGTTTAAATTGTATGAAAACTAGTTCTTTTTTTTACTATTAAAATTGAATAAAACTGTGACGTCAAAAATATATTACCTCCAAATTTTAATTTTTTACAAAAGCTAATGTTACTCTATAATAGTTTATTATCGTAATAACAAGCCTCTTAATACTTAAAATGTCTCATGCTAAAACATGTCTTTTCATTGGCTATTTTAAAACATGACGTAAGTATCAATATTTTCGTATATAACTGTAAATAAACCGATGATTCAATGGTATTTCTCAGTTTTTTAATACATTCATTCGTCTTTCAATTTATCATCATTTTTGCAATATCATTTAATAATTATCAATTTCTATGAAAAACTTAAGACAAAGAAAATTAATTTTTCTTCTCACTTATTAAAAATTACAAATAAATAACTTCATGAGTAAAAATGAAAAATAAATATCCATACTCACTATGTGCGAGCGCGCGCGCGTATGTGAAATACAAAAATATTCTAGTAAAGTAATTAAAACAAAATTTGTCTGTATAAATAATAACGGAAAGTACATTTTAACTTCATAAGACTGACTTTTCTGTGAATAGTGAAATAACATTTTTCTTTTAGCATAATTCTCTCTATAGAACTAACCGGGGTATTTGGAGTTGCTATCGGTGACATTCCTGTGACAGGCATCATCGGAGGTCCTTGTGCCATTGTTAGAGGTAACTTGGCACAAGTTTCGCCTACAACCAATATCGACACCGCCCCTATGGTAGGGATAGCAGCATCGACAATAACAACAACAACGGCAATCGCAAAAGCTTCCCGTAGATCCATTACGTCTCGTTCCCGGAAGTTCTTGACACCCACTCGGGGGTGCCTCCAATCTGAAATGTCATAATTTTATATTGAAATAATTGGATATTCCCATAATATGTATAAGTGAAATGGGAAATTAAAAAAATTTATAGTAATTTGATATTGAATACAACATTTTGCTTACATGCAAAACATAAGACTTATTAGAATTAAATTTACGTTTAATACATAATATTATTACATCTTACGAATCTATATGTAATGAAAATAAAAAGATAAAACTTTATCGTTTATTGTTTTTATGAATGGCTATTTATATTGTTATATAAATAATTATATGTCGTTTGAAATGCATGAGTCTTGCGAATACGAGCTCAGTCACGAGAATTGAAGATACCGATGTACCTTGCGGCAGTCGAGTGGCTCCGATGGAACTCGGTGGCGCGCTCGAAGCTACTCCTAAGCAGCTCCTCGCCAATGAGCAGTGGACTTAACTCTTCGGCACACGGTTCTGGTCGTTTCTGAACAAGACAGCCGCCGCCCGAGAGCTTCGACCTCACCTCCAGACGCGGCGATGACGTGCTTGCGAGGACCACCACCTCGGCATTGTTGCTTTGTATCAAGCAACCGCCTGACTGTATGCCACACTGAGTGCTGATTGTCACCTGCATTCACATTCATATATTCATTATTAGAATTAACTTCCGATACGATTGTTCAAATTATTAACTATTAACCATTTGTAATGATAATTATCTCTTCTGGTATTATTATCAATTTAAAAACCATGCTTTGATACGAAAAATTTTCAAATTGGGCAGATTTGAGGGTAACGTGGAAAACCTTGGTGGAACGCGAGGTCAAGCATTAAACGTAAGTAACAAGCATTACTTGTTGTCGATGTTGATCATTGGCGCAGTTCGTGGCGTCAAGAAGTAGAAACCCACCAGACGTGTTTACTGAGTGGGGCTGGAGATCGATATTGGCAGTCTCAGTGTCCGGAACATCGCTAGTATTGCAGCAGTCCGGGGCAGGAAAGCGATGCCTGCAGTTCGGGCACATTACTGTCAGCATTACGGCTCAACTGCGGGAACTACAATCCCAAGAGCCTCGTTTAGCATAACAATGCCAATTGCGATTTCTGTAATCAAGTCGAACGATATTTATCCATTAGAAATGTGTTGCTTCAATTCGCTTCTTTTTTTTAGAAAAATTATTATGAAATAATGCTATTGTTTACTAAATAGAATTTAAGGAGATACAAATTTTAGAATGCAATAATACTAGGATTTGTTTTTAAAGAGTCGATTTAGTGCTTAAATGCTATCAAATCATTTAAACGTATATGTATAAAAAATATATATTTAATTCGTAATAAAAAATATCTGATGCTAATAAGTATAATGCAAATAATTAAATAATAAATTTTTTTGTTTCCGAGGAATTTTTTTTGCATAATTATTCTTTGAAATGGAATCAAAAATATGACTGGCACAATAGTTCATTGCAAAGTATTTATTATCAAGCGAATATTTATATTTTCTTAATTAATTTTTATTTGATACCTTTTTAATGTCTCATTATTGCCAACAATGTTATTTATATAATATATATAAAATTTTTAAATTTTAATTCGTAACGAATATTTGCTTAAATGATGACATTCATTTTTCGAATACTTGAAAGAGTAATAAGATAGACATAATCCATTGGGAAATGTAAATGAAAATAAATATCAGTTACTAAGAAAATTTTGTAAAGATCATTTTACGTGATCAATTTGAAACTAATTATTTGTTAACAAATTTTTTATTCAGAATAACAACATGACCGAATGAAAGACAAGTGTAAAAACAGTCATTTCCGGTTGGAAGAATTACAAACAAAATTTACATAAAAAAAAAATCCAATGCTTATTAAACACTTGATACCATTCTTGATAGAGTTCGTAAACTTAAAAAGAAAAATTAATTGTAAAAAATTGTCGTAGCCGTCAATTACACCTGATTTAAATTCCTTAATAACATCTCACAGTTCAGATTGTACTTTGGATTATTTGATATTGATAGAATCTAATTTAATGTTACTATTAAAATATGATCCACATTTAAGTAATAATAAAAGGTAATGATTAAACAGAAAACTATAGTAAAAAATATTCTTCACTGTAAATACGATTGAATATTATGCTATTGTAAAAAGAAAGATATTTAATTCCAAATGACAAATGACGAGAAAAACAAACCAATTTCCCCATTTTCAAATGGTTTAATGATCAAATCTCAATAAAAAGTTTCTCTATAATTTTTGTACCGCCATTCCTATTATCGTTAAATGTCTAGCAATGGGCTTGAGGCTAATTTTCAATACAAAAATCACAAATTCTTTTAAAGCCAATTTCACTTATAAATTTCCATGATATATTGAATTTAGCCATATCAAACGAATGTACATTTTTGGTATTTGAGCAGCAAGTTAATTTTGTATTGCTTTTTACTTCAGATTGTCTGTTTAACCAACAATCATAAGAGAAATGACGTTTTTAATTTAACGTAAATTACATTTAATAACAATTATGAAGAGATATTAATCTGAGCTAAAACATGCATAAATTACCAACAAAAAAAAACAACAAATTTTTCACATGAGATATATATTGAAATACAAAAGTAAGAGCGGAAACAAGCGATGAAGTGACTTGATCGCTCGTGGATAAACGAGTAGCCGATTAAATTTTGTGTCACGAGGCTATCAGCTGATAAATCATCGGTCGGCAGCATTCGTAGATGCAATTATTATGCATCACCACGATCGCCGTTGCAACTCCGTACGCGAACTATTCTTTTCCCATTCCTGACCTCTTAATGTAATTCTTGCAAACTGAGACCTACCCTTTAAAAAAAATAATAAAAATCTCATAGAGAGATACTAAATAATAGTAAATTCTTTGAGATTACATCCATTTCTTTGAGTCATGTCATCCCGAATTTGTATAAAATAGTATAAAGGTTTAATACTGTAAGTAATTGCTTTCTAAAGTGCTATGAAATGCTTATTAAAATTATAAAATAATTCAATAATTTTTATGCAAACAACCATTTTAATGTAGTGCGACAAAAATTGTACGTTGCAGAAAATATATTAAAGATATCGTCAATACACATTCCGACCTTCTCTATTCGGACTCTCTTGATATAAAATTAATTCTAAAATAATTATGAACAAGGTCTCGTCTAATATCTCGAATTAAAATCAAGCTACAGCACAGAATAATTTTAAGCGCCAATTTTATAAAATAATAATTAAAAAAAAAAATTGTTTATTATTATAGCATTTTAGATACTAATATTAGAAAAAGATTATATTTTTGAAAAATTTTATTGTGAATGATAAGTTAACTAAAAACTTAAATACCTTGTGCTTTTTACATGTTCTTTTTAAGCATAAAATTATACAAAGTTCTAAAGCATACTAAGCATTAATTAGTTAAGTATACCAAATCATCCAAATTTGGAATGTTAGTATTATTTTAAAGAAATCATTTTTATACATTAAAGATAAATCAATTTTTTAAATTAGCAATTTTCAGAATGTTATACCGCAGTATTTATTAGTGAATGAAAAATAAATTATTTCAAAAGTGACAAAAAATATCTATTACACACAATCCAAATTAAGAAATTATATCTGTAATGCAGACTTTTTCATAATTTTTCGTAAAAATGACATTGATTTATGAATCTTGCGGTTCATGATAACTAAACTAGAAACAATATAAATTTTCTACGAAATATAATGAACTCTTATAATACGATTATAAGTTATTACCTGGCTTTATTTCAAACGTATATAATTGTTATATTAAGTTTTTTAAATATAAAATTATACAGTCGCAATTTCATAACGATTTTTACGAATTTTTATTACTCCATATTGAAATTGCATGTATTTAATTTACATTTATCATACAATTACATGACGATAAAAAAAAATTTTTTTTCACTAATTGAATAGCTTTTTATAGCATCGAATAGCTATCAATACGACATATTTATATGCAAAACAAAAACAGATTGATCTATTGAATTCAGTAAATATAATAGTTCTATTTAACTATAAATGAAAACTAGTAATCGATGAATAACACAACTAATATGCTTCATTAATAAAAGCAATTAAGTATTCGAACTTTTATTATTTCTCTTTTTCAACATTTTATAAAAAAGCAAGCAAATCAAAGATTGCACGGGATATCGACACAATGTAACTTAGAGAATGAAAACTAATAAACGTTCCAATTTCATTGACAAGCGCTCTATAGCTATGTAACGAGAATAGAAAAGAACAATTTAGTAATCAGCGGCACATTTAATGTGAGTTTAACACAAAGGAAGAGGGAAGGGAGGAATCCATCAAAAAAAAAAGAAGCGGGGGTGGAAGAAAGGAAAATGTTGATTGAAATTAATACAGAAAGTCTCCACTTGTTTCTCTTACTTTTTCTGCTGCGCGATGAATAAAATCGGAACGTAATGATCTAGGAACTCAAGAAAAACTATAAAAAAAAAAATAACCGGGAGAATGAACAGACAAGGCAGAAGGAATGCGTAGTAATATGCGATAAAAAAGAAACGGCGGCGATGTTGACGCCTACGGCTGCGGCGACAGAAGAGAAACAGAGGAAGAAAAAAATGAGAGTCGTATCTAAGAATAGCCAATTACAGTCTAATTATTCCGTGTCGTGGAAGAGCCGGGACTTTCGCGAAAATTTGCACCGTTGAAGATGTGTTTCAGAACAGACATAAGAAATTAGTATTAAAAAGTTGATGGAGTGAAAAGAGGGGTAATGATGATAATAATGGTAAAAGGGAAAATCAAAAATACAGATAAGGAGAAGCTGACTATATTAATCGTCCGGTTCTTTCTCTTTTCTTTTTCCCTGTTTTCTCCCTCATCGGCGTCAAAGAGAGCGTTTAAAAGCAAATACGGACGTTTTGTGGTTACTTAACCTAATTTTACACTTTTGTGTAATGCCGAGTGAAAACAATTGATTACCTTCGCCAGCCTTTCACGAAAAGATACTTGCAATTTTATAAAAATACTTTAGCGACAGGGCTTTTAACGTTGTTTCATTCTGTAGTTTGAATAACTTTCTAGCAACATAAATGTACAATGTTTTTACTTTTTATGATTATGTGTGTTAACTAAACAAATTTCAACTTTTATGAAATTGAAGCAAGGCAACCATACTGCTATATGCAATCTTCACTAAATATTTTCAATTTCCGTTTTTAAATCTTACAAAATAATAAATACGTAATGGCTGGAATAGCATTTCCTCGTGGCCAAAAATTACTTATTAATGTACTTTTATTTTATAATAGTTATTGAAGAAATATATTTTAAAGTGCAACGATAATTATGAACAAATATAATTCATAGGATGTTTGTGGAATGCTATGTTTATGTTATACGAACGAATGGCCATCGTTTATTCAACTTTTTTTTTATAAAGCAATATTTAGAAATTATCAGTATAAAAATGAAATAATACACTACTACTATATGTTGCATTTGTTTATAACTAAGTATTGATCAAATAGAATCCTGTGAGGCTTCTATTTTATTATCGCATTTATTTATTACATATCATGGCAAGTATTCTTTTGTTAATTCTGCCATAACTTTGAATTTATTATAAAAACATTTTAGCGGATAGAAAGGTAAAAAAAAGTACCTACCCGCATCTAATGTTTATCAATAGATGCAAAATTATTGACAAGACTGCTATTTTTTTATTTAATAATTGTCATCCAAAATGTCAAATCTTGATAATGTACGAGAGTAAATCATGAGTGTCAGATCAGATTCATAAAAGCGATTCTTCCCTTCATGTGGCACACAATTTCGTAACGCATTTTTTCCCTCAAATTTCCACGTACTCGTCACGCTGTATAGAAATCGATGAGAAAATCTTTCTTCGAAACTTTCCACTTTGGAGAAGCCGTAACTCGCTTAAATTCGGGTCGAGAGCTGTTCGGAGACTTGCTGAGTGAAAGAGAAACAGAAGGAGTAAGAGGGGGAGGAGGAATAATCAATGAAGTACATTTAAAAGCATACACAAAGTATCCAATTCCTAAAAAA